TAAGATAAAATTATTCTAATTAAAAATAGTTCCACATTTTTACTATTTCTAAAATCAGAAATAAAACACACGATCTTCTCACCATAATAATAAAAATAAACTGTTATGTTGAGTGTATTCAACCGAAGTTCCCTTCTTTTCGGCCAGAAGACAAATGAGAACTAGATAACGGGTTTTATCCATAAAATACGCGAAACTGATTATAAAAATTCAACACACACCGGATGTATTTATACCGTACTGTAAGACAAAAACAGTGAAATCCCGCGCTCCTCGTGTCCTCTTAGAATTTTGAGTCTTAAATTAGAGTCTATCGAACTTCAAGCTAGGTAGGTTTACATCTCCAATGAGATGTGAAGTAACAAATAATATGCTGTTGTATATACATTTATTAATGTGAGTTTTTATCAGTCGCAATAATAATTTTTTTAAAAAAGTTTAGATGTTTACCGAAAAATTATAATTTATATTACATCATTACGATTAATAGATTTAGCAAATGTAAAATGAAGCGATATTCAAGCTTACATTACTGAAACAAGTTCCTACTCAATGCAGGATTCACATAATACTATATGTTTTTTTTTGTGTTGTACAAATTATTATTATTTTCTATAGCAAAAAAATTTAAATTAAATAACATTTATTTGAAGTTAAACATATTTGTTCTTATTGATGATTCTAAACACTATTAATTAAACTAAACACAATATTAAACTTATTTATTCATAAAATAAATTAAACTATCTAAGAGACGAAGCGAACTTTTAAATGTAGTAATAGTCATATAATTATATTGTTACTGAAGTGCCAAAGGCGAATACAATTCTCATTACAATACTATTATTCTATTATATTAATTATTACTGGCACATTAAATACTTAAGCTATTTTAGAACTTAAGATAAAATTACAAAAAAAAAAATTTATGTAATTACGATTAATCTGTTGTAAGGTATGAATACAAACAAAAAAATTAGTACTTTAGATTTCATCTTAAATTATATACTATATTTTATTAGTATGTTTAAAATGAATACAATTTTAAAATATATTCAACTAATCGTTTTTGTATTTTGTGATCTTTTACTTGACGGTTTTATAATGTATTATATATTTAGTTATTATTACTAATTTCGATGTTTTCACGTACAATTTAAGTACAATAGACAAAAAAATCCCTCTGATTAATGTAGTTTTTTTATACGCGCATTTCATAACAATAATTAAAAAATTAATTAATGTTGGTTGTTTTAAAAATATAAATTAACTTGCAAATAGATAAAAAAGTTAATACATAGTGACAAATATAAGAATTTCTAAAAAAAAATCAAATCATGGGTGATCTTTCAGATTATTACTGTATAATTAATATACATATACTATGTAAAAAAAAAAAAAATTATATGAGAAATCCAGACAAATGTGTAAAACGTTGTTTACACATTTTATACAGCAAATATAAACGAAGACGATACTAAAATTAGTTGCTGCAGATTACCAAAACGATGCCAATATAGACAGTATTAAAACTCGGTGATGGATGAAATCGCATTTCATCTATGCCTTTTAAAAATATGTAATATTATATATTTAAGTATAATGTATGTAATGCAATGTCATTGACTTTTTTCTTTTTTTATCTCCTCAGCAAACTTGTGATGTACACAGTACCACAAAAACCGGGTGTGCAAAGTGTGCCGCGCACACTGGCCTCAAGGCTTACATAAATTTGGGGGGGGGGGCCCTTAGTCCCAGCCTGAAATAAACTACACTTTACAAACACACAATTATTTAATAATAAAAAGAATTTTTTTTAAAATTCAGGTAAGGTTGTTATAACATTGTAGAATAATATAATATTTATTTAACAATGAGTCCAATGAGTATTTTAGTAGGCATACAACATACCTACCTTAACTACTTAAATAAATTTACTACATAAATATGTAGTGAAATATAATATATAACAGTTATAGGTATTTAGTTTGATATACATATATCATACACTAACTGATGTGAAACGTGTTTTAAAACCTAAAAAAATTGATACTTAAATTGAACAAAAATAAATCCTAGGAAGGGATCCAATATAATTACCGTACACGGGCTTCCTATTTTGTAGTTGCGGCACTGGATGTACATACTACTAATAATAATAAAACAACCGTAACAATATTAATATATTAATATTGACTTTTTCTATTTATTTATCAACTGCGTTATATCGATTTTTCGGCTACCAGTTCATGCCGAACGGGAAGGGAAAACTTTATTTTGTCGGTTCGGCAATTTTTTTTTTTTTTGCGAAGTTACAAAGTTATTCTGGTGTGCTCTACTCTATTCGACTAAAAGTGGGTGGTGGATGGATTGACGGATAAATGGTTGGACGTTTTGATTAATGTGCTTACATGGAAATATGCACGGCGGCGTTCAGCAGTTACCGAAAATACGGCGGTAATGTTGGCGAGTAGGAATATGATGGGGAAGGGAAAAATAAAATAACAATAATATTATAAACAACTGTTATGTCGACCGTCATCGTCATCATAGCCGTCGCAATCGTAATCGTGATACTTTCACCGGGTTGACGACAACGAAAAAGACGTGCGCACACGCGATCCGTTAGTCGGTAGGTAACGTTATAATTTCCCACAAACGCAACGGGAGACCATCGTCTCGAACACTCCGAAGATACACAACAAGTAATCACGCCTTCCGGGTTCCACCGATGGTTGATACGTTCGACTACGAATATCCAATTCCTTCATACGGGCGGTTTTATTGAAAAGAGAAATATGAAAACAAAGTGATATATTTTTAAAACGAAACTTCAATATTCCGACTTTTCAGAATTGTCCTATTATTTATAAATATATTTATTACTTTAGAAAAGTATAGCATAATGCTAAGAATTGTTTATTATTTTTCGGTATTCCAATTAATAACCGTAAATTGTTAACATATGAATTTAGAAATATTACCATCATTTTCAGTAATATACTATAATAAACTAATAGTTCAACCAATATAAATTTATATGAATAATATATAATAAAACTCCATTAAATTAACCATGTAACGTACAGACAAAAGGTTCTAAAATAATTTGTTTATATAACGCTAGTTAAGCTATAGCTTTAAGCAATCAATCTATTGTATTTTATAAACGTAATACAGCAAGAGCAAAACATTTATCATTGTTATAAACAATATAATTCGGTAGAATATAAAATCTGCCAAACTTTTAACATTTACCGTTTGCTTTTCTTTCTAATTTTTTAGATTATTTTCAATATTTACCATTGTTATTTATATTGAAATGTAAATGTTAGCAACATTTAATAATTATGTTAAAAATATTTTTTATTGGATTTTATTAATCAAGAATTTTTTTTAATGATAGAAAATAAATTGACTCAGTGAAATAAATTTTTCTGTGATTAAAATTCATTCATTAAATACCCCATTTTTTTAAGGCGGCTATTTACCAAATGAAGAATTTAATAAATATTTTAAAAGTTTTGCGGGCACCTTACATTTTCTATTGTCTCGTGAATTTTAATTTCCCAAAAAAAATTTATCATGGACGTAAAGTGAAAAACCTTGGGTCAACTGCATTAGTTTTAAAAAAACAAATTTTTTTATAAATTGGAATAAAAGAAAATTTAATTATAAATACTCAAATTGAAAATTTTTACTAATACTCAAACAATTTATAAAATAGAGTTCAATATTAATCAATATAGTTATAAAGAAAAAATGCATATAATATAATGATATTACGTTTATTATTAGAATATCTACGTAAAACTTGTTAATTCTCAAATAGAGGTATTACCTATATTTATTTTGATAGTAATAAATAATACATTTTTATAGGTTTGTGGCTTGTTTCTGGTTTTTTTTTTTTATAAATAGTTTATATTATTTTTTTTTTTTTTGTTTGAAGACTTCAGAATGATTGGGATATAAAACGCGGAAGAAGTGTCAAAAGACAGGAAGAAATGGAGAGATTTCGTTGTTATAGCAATGTACCTTAATGGTCTAAAAATGTCTTAGAAGAAGGAGATAAGTTTTTAGCTCACTATAAATTAATTAAAGATGCATTTTAATGTCAATATAATAATTTAATTCACAATCACATTTAGGTATACTTAATAGCACAATGATTCAATTTTAGGATTATTATTATTATTAGTTATTATACCACATCTAATAATAGTAGTAATAATACTAGTAAAAATACACCAAATTGGGTTAAAATGAAAACATTCAGTTTATTTTAACTTTATTTTTTTACTAAAAAATGTATGTATACACGTATAAATATTTTAACGCAAAAATAATTAATAAATTATTTTAGTCTGAAGTGTAACATTTTTTCCCGTTCGGACCAATAACATTTCAACAAAATTATACACACATCACACACCTAACAGTAAATGTCACCATTAATTTGCATTGCAGCAGACGCATATTATATTATCATACGTTAACGGCACGTATTCATAATGTTATGTTATTATACACTTAAACGTAAGATAAACACAACTTTAAAGACTCGATATAAACAACATGAAAATTTGATCGCGTTTAAAAATGATTATTACTCTGCGATCATATTAATCTAAACTACGCAATTTACATATTCATGAAACCAAACTTTTCAATTGGCGATTAATATTTTCATGAAATGTAAGTTCAGTTTTAACGGAACTGAAATCGTGTATTAAAAATCTGACGGGGCAGGAAGTTAAATATGATCTAATGAAATCCGTACCCTGGTTATACACTACATGTACAGGGTGGGGTTAGGTAAGCCCGATGTTTTTGTGCTGAAACCGTGGACGATGAACGTGCAATGATGTCACGAGCGATTAAACGTACACGACAACATCAACCTAATATATCGATCATTATTATTAATTATCGCGGATTTCGATCGGTTTTTTACGCATGGCAATATTACTATCATGGAAGACCGGTTAAGTACTCACCGTGGGCGTAAGGCGGTGGCGGCGGTGGCGGCAGCGACGTCGGTTGTTGTTCATGTTTGCCGCTGTCGGAAACGTCGGACGGGGCGCCGCCGTTGGCCTGCGTGGGCGGCGGCGGTGCGGAAAACGCGCTGTTATACGGCGCACCGTGATGGTGATGGTGGTGATGGCGCCGGTGGTGCGGTGGCGGTGGCTGCGGTTGATGCGACGGATGATGATCCGGGCCGGACGAACCGGGCGGTTGCATGCTGGACAAGGCGGTCAGCGGCGCGTACGACGGACGCGGAGCCGCTGGTTGCTGCGAAGACGGCACCACCGACACCGACGACGATACAGGCTGTTGCGATGAAACCGTCTGTAGGGCGAACAAAACAAACAATATTATAAAAATCATCATCATTACTCGTTCTTCACATGCCCGTGATCTAGATAAACGTTAACGTATGCGGTGAACATTTTACGTCGGAAAAAAAATTTGAAATAATGTCTAATATATGTATACCAGCATAAGGTAAGCATTAAGTATCGTTGGTAAGAGTATACAAATAAATAAAAATAAAAGATTTATATCTTAGTTAGCTTTCAGTAGTATGTTATAATATCGTGACGTAATATTATGTGTTTATATTTAAGCACTCGTAGAGAGAAAAAATGTGGTTGAATCTTTGAATTTTTCATTTTCTTTCCACACCAATAACATACGGTAAAGTAACTTAATTTCACTTAATTTTATTCCAGGAATAACAAAATAACTTATTTTTTCCAATTCATAATTTTTGATAAAGCAAATAGCTGTGAATTTTCAAATCGATTGATATCCTTCCTCCAAACGGATTCTGATACAATTTCGTCACGAGTATCAGCATTAATCGAACAATGTTTGAGGCTGTTCAAGAAACAGCATTTAAAATATGTTAGTATCGACATCATGGATTGATTTTATTTTAAGACTGTGATCGCTAACCGTTTTATCAGAGGATGTTGTGAAAACGACACTTCAAAGAAATTCGAGGGAAGCGTGAACATAAAATAAAACAAAAAGTATTTTCTTAAATAAGTTTTATTGCACGCTAACCAATAAATACAATTTGGATATCCAATTACTATTTATTTTCCTTACATTAATTACGTTATAAAGCCTAATAAAGTCTAAAAGGTAAAATACCAACATTATTATTGAAACATTTCACATTTGTATTAAGACATTATTACATTTATGTTGGCATAAAATATAATTTGAAAGTATATTTGAAATAGCAAAATAAAATATATCACCTAAATACAATGTACATTGACGAACACAATATTTGTGCGCGACACAGCAATAAACAATATTATCGCCAAAATGACCTTTTCGACATTCGCTACAATCACATCGTAAAACCTTGAGGCAATAAAATAGAACTTCCAAATGTTATGTATGTAATACGTATACTATGTATATACGACTTTATCGTAAATGCATTTGAAAGGTTAAGATTTAACAAACACATTTCTTGTAAAAAGTTGTAATATTATTTTCACTAGGACGGTTGGACTCAGATTTATACCTAAAACCTAATAATGTGGAACTAGAAATGTTCGATGACACGAATACAGGGAATAGTCAAAAGAAGAAAGAATATTTGAATTGTCATATTTATACAATAAGTATACATAAGTAAAGATATGATTTGAAATATTTTTCATAAATTTTGCGTATTCGGATCTATCTTCATTAATTTAACACTCGATTCTACTTTATATTTTATTTTTCATAAGTATATAAATGTTCAGAATAAAACAAATATATCTTAGTATTTTATGTAAGAATAATGTAAAGAACACGGGTTTATTTTATATAATACTTAATATGTGAATAACAAACACACATACACGAAAGCAAAGTTCATATTTAAATAATATATCTTATTCACTTCTATTACTTTTCAAGTAAATGATGATTGGATTTAAGAATACTACCGATAATGTGGTATACCAACGTAGCAGTTATTTAATGTTACTAAATATTGGGATACACAAAAATGTTCATTATTATAAATCTAATTTATTTTGTATCACATGAAACCTCGCATGAAACTAAATGTGAGTATATCTTGAATATTTAATACATATAATAGTTATAAAATAAAATAAACAAAACACAAATATATAAGATAATACACAATTATAAACAATATTATACAAAAAATATAAAACATGTTACGAATAATTTTTTTAAAATTACTATCAATTTAACTCATATATGCGTACACCATATACATATAGATTAATGCAGGTATAATGACTGTGTTGTTTACGGTTATTATGATTTTCAATATAAACATTACATGTTCTTAAAACTTTCTATTCATGGATGGTGAAAAATAAATCGATGTTTTAACGTCGCCAAACAAATTGAAAGCCAGTCAAAAAGTAAACGAAAACAATAACGCACTGCTTCTTAAAACGTTTAGATCCTCTCAGAAAACAACGGCACACATCGTTTTACTCTACTGCCTTCCACCTCTTCCACTCGACCACTCCTTTCGTGGAGAGCGCCTTGTGCCCCGCAAATCGATTTTCTGTCCTCTCTTAACCAAACTTATCGGGCTAGGTATAACGTCAATGAGGTCGATTGACCAGTGGTCATATAATGCAATACACACACACACACACACACACACACACACACACACACACACACACA